CTGCACATTTTTTTCAGTAAATAATACTCTAAAATTAATTATGGTGCACACAATGGAATGTAGGGACCCTGATTGAGACACTGGATAGGAAGGAAGGGCGAAGCACAGGGGGACGCTGGAGGAGAAGGAAGGGTGAAGCACCAGAAGACACTGGAGGCAGTGGAGGGGAATTAAGGGTGAAGCACATGGGGACACTGGAGGGGAAGGAAGGGTGAAGCACAGGGAGACACTGGAGGGGACCGAAGGGTGAAGCACAAGGAGACACTTGAGGGAAGGAAGGTTGAAGCACAGGGGGACACTGGAGGGGATAGAAGGGTGAAGCACAGGGGGACACTGGAGGGGACCGAAGGGTGAAGTACAAGGAGAAACTTGAGGGAAGGAAGGTTGAAGCACAGGGGGACACCTGGAGGAGAAGGAAGGTTGAAGCACAGGTGGACACTGGAGGGGAAGAAGGGTGAAGCACAGAGGGACACCGGAGCAGAAGGAAGGTTGAAGCACAGGGGGACACTTGAGGGGAAAGAAGGGTAAAGCGGACTTCCGGTTCCGGCGCCCGATGATCTAAACGAGTGCCCCGGAGTTCCGTCCCACCATCCGCCTACCTCTGCATAACGCAGCATCTCCCACACCCGACCAGACTCCCACAGCCTGCCGATCGATCCCCAAACATGGACAGATACATAGACCTGCAGCCGCGAGCGCGCAGATCGCTCACAGAGCGATCCTCTGATGAGGGAGACAAGGCAGATGCAGCCAATATGGCCGCCGAAGACATGCTGCAGGGGAGTGACACAGGCACATCCGAGGGTGAGTTAACCCCTGCATCCACGGCCACAACAGCCATTGACTATGCATTGATAGCCTCCGAGGTGACCAAACACCTCAAAGCGGATATAGCAGCCATAATTGCTGATACTCTACAGCTTCACTTGGGCAAGATGAATGCAGCCCTAGAAACTCTTGGGAAAAGTATACAGGCCATGGAGCACCGCATAAGTGTTATAGAGGATGACGCTACGGATTCTCACCGTGCTTACGGCGACATGGCAAAACGCATACATACTCTGCAGGAGAAGGTGGATGACTTGGAAAACCGCTCCAGGCGCAATAATTTGAGAGTGATTGGCATACCAGAAACTGTAAAACCAGTTGATCTCCGCGCATTCTGTGCCAATACCATACCCAAGGCATTGGGCTTGCCGGCAAACTGCAAGGTTGAGAGGGCGCATAGATTGGGCCCACCCAGAGACGACACCAAACCTAGGCCTGTAATAGTGCGCTACCTTGATTACTATGATAAACAAAGTATATTCCAAGCCTACCGCACTCAACGCAACCTTGCAGTAGAGGGTCTTAAGCTACTACTTTTCGCAGACTACTCCATGGAAACGTCTAAGTTGTGGAGGTCCTTCCATGACGTTTGCCAAGCTCTGGTTCGTCATTGCATAAGATTTGCGCTCCAATACCCTGCAGTGTTACGCTTCTCCACGGAAGATGGCAAGGCATGGCGATTCACCTCCGCGGCTCAAGCTCAACGTTTCCTTGACTCTAGGGGGAACTTCTCCTCAGCATCTCCGTCGAAGAGTCCTCCTCGGAAGAAGAGGACATTAAGGAATACGGGGCGAGATCGTGTCTTTGATATATACTTACCGCGGGACTGGCAGCGGTAGTGGCGCAGATGTTCCGGGCCTATTTGCTGCCTCTTTGCAGGTATCTTCCATCCGCTTGTTGTTTATTTTCTATTTTCTATTGTTATGGCTCTCATGGGCACAAAGGAATAGTTCATACCAAGGATGGCGGGATGGCGCGATTCACTTAATTTTGGTTCAAGCACAGCGCTGACACAGATCCGTGAGTACTAGAATCGTACTCACGTGTGGTCAGCTTTAATACGCTTACATCGGGAAAAAAGGTGGTCACGTACCATGGTTGTTCTCTTGTTTTTTTCTCTTTTTTTGTGTTTTTGTTTTTTCAGTTCTCAAACCAACACATTCGAGTTCCGCAGTACCTTAACCCACATATCATGCTCTCACGTGTCTGGAGACATGCTCCCCGCTGTTGTAGATCTCCACACGCTTCTTCTACACCCCCTGAGGTTCGTCAAGCAAGTACGCTACAGGGTATTCTCGGGAGCATTGGGACACCCGTGAAAACCTGGACCTGCCGTTGGCATTTGACACACGAAATCTACTCAATCCCGTTCCGGTCTTTATGGCACCCACCCTGAACATAGTGACATGGAACGTTAAAGGACTGCAATCTCCCAACAAACGGCGTTATCTACCCTTTTGGTGGACATCAGGACATCTGTATGCCCTGACTCCCCCTCCGTGTTTCCTAACCATGTCCAAAGATGGGCGAGGTTCCCCCAATTACCGGTGGAGGAAACAGACCATTTGCTACTCAATGGATGGCTCTCGCTTAGGAAGGCTATCATCTCCGAAACATGGAGGGAGATTCAGTTCAAGTTGATCCACAGAGCATTCTATGCTTTCAATTTGAGATACGCCTGTACTCCCCCGCATTGGCTAACTGCCTGCCCTAAATGCCATGCCCAGTATCCCGAGCTGGACCACTTGATGTGGCTGTGCCCCAAGATCCAACATTTCTGGTCTACGATCCTATCTTATATGTCCGCTCATGCGGGGACCCTGAGGTCAAAACACCGGTCACATGTTTATTCCATTCTCTGCCCAATTCCCTCTCCACAGACTCCACGGGCTCCTCCACATGCCTCTCCAGGTGGGAGCATCTATGCCTGTTGACGGCACAGAAGACCATTCTGAAATACCCGCCCCCCCTTCCTTAGCCTCATTGAAAGAACACCTTCACAAATTGATGTCACTTGACAAATTAGAGGCCCGAGCCACCCATAAACTCACGTCAAAATTTTTTAACACTGGAGGGGAAGGAAGGGTGAAGCACCGTGAAGACGCTGTAGGGGAAGGAAGGGTGAAGCACAAGGGGACACTGGAAAGGAAGGAAGGGTGAAGCACAAGTGGACACTGTAGGATAAGGAAGAGTGAAGCCCAGGGGGACACTAGAGGAGAAGGAAGGATGAAGCACCAGCAGACACTGAAGGCGAAGGAAGGGTGAAGCATAGGGAGACACTAAACAGACACTAAACAAAACACTATCAGATAAGAATTGTCCGCACTGATTATATCTACTTATACAGGCCAGACATAGAGGTCTCAGCAAGGGATAAATCTAGGGTTGCCACCTGCCCAGGATTCACCCAGACAGTTCGGGTTTTGAATGCTGTGTCTGGGTTTATGACAGCAGAAGCCGGAACACAAGATGTCAGGCAGACAGGGGCAACCAAAATTAAGATAGGGGCTACTGACCCCCCCCCACAGAAAATAGTCTCAACTGTGATATTTACTTATGAATCGGTGGCGCTATTTACATTTGAATAAGCCACCACTCATTCTCCCAAAAAAATGTCCACACGTCGCTAGAGTGTGTTCGGGTTTCGCTTGAAGAAAAGGTGGCAACCCTAGATAAATCGCTAATACATCAATCGGAGTCAGGATAACAGTAGTGTGTTATCGTGCGGCGTAGTATGCTGCAGTGAAAATTCTCTGCTAAAGTGTGTTGGGGTGCCATTAAGAATGAATGCAAAGCATCACACAATGTGTATTATCTGCTATCAAGTTTGCCCCTAAGGTTGACCTAAAGGTGGCAATATTATCGTTCAACGGATTTATTTATATAAATGATACCCAGATTCTTATTGTAAAGTTTCAAAAACATTTTCATTAAATATTTTTGGACTTTAATATTTTCTTGGTAAACCTTCCATTATGGTTCAGAGAAATATCACGCATGCATTCATGTATTTTCAATACGTTTATTTCAAACAATGAAAAAAATCTTTACCATAACACTTATTTCTACATGGGGTTCACAGTTGTGTTACTTTTAGTACCAAAAGACATCTATTCCTCTATTATTACATATTGATGGTTAGTGAGCATATACTTTCCTTTTAGCCGGAGCCGTAGGGAATTCAGAGAAACATCTTTTTTATTTTCAGAAAAATATCTACATAATCTTCAAGAAATGGATGTAAACGTCCTTCTTTGTTATGCACCCAACTGCATACTACAGTCCGGAAAAAAACAAAAAGGAGAGAGAGGAAGCGCCACTACCAGGCCATAATGGAGGTGTAGGCTGGTCGGTAGACCTTTGGAGTATTGATGTTGCGGATTGGTGTGATGGTGATGATGAACCCAGAAGGAGTGTTGCGCCTCCCAGCTTTCGAAGTTGGAAACCAAAAAAAAGGAGTGGAAAAATTAAATTTCAGTTTTAAATCGATCACATGTGACCTCGCATCTATTCATCACAGCACATAGGTTTCTAAGACAATGCTCCAACCTTCGCCAATGACATCGCATCACCATTAACCTAACGCTGAGTTTCTACACACCAGACATGTGATCGATTTATTCCTGAAATTTCATTTTTCCACCGTTCTCTACTCCTCCTTTTGGTTCCCAACTTCGAAAGCCGGGAGGCGCAACACTCCTTCTGGGTTCATCATCATCACGCCAATCCGCAACATCAATACTCCAAAGGCCTACCGACTAGCCTACACCTCCATTATGGCCTGGTAGGGGCGCTTCCTCTCTTTCCTTTTTGTTTTTTCATTACACGTGTTAGAAAGCAGCACACCCAGCCCAACTTCCCATCACCCATTCCCCTCCACACCCACATCCAGTTTCTAAGCCCACTAACACCAATGATGAGGCACCATTCATCCTACTGACACCGATGATGGAGAACAACAAAGCACCATTCATCTTAATGACTACAGATGGGCCCCCAAACACTCTGAAAGACAGTTGACTAGTTCTTTGGTTAAACATTTTAAACCCCTGCTCTAATCTTTCCCTGCTCTAACCAAAGCCAAATACAAAATCTAGGCTTGAGTTGGGCCTTATCAAGATGCAAGCAAGAGCATGGAGATAGTTCTCGATGGGATTTTGACACATTAGTTACTATTTTAAAAATTTCCAAGAACTTTTTAATGCTTCTATAACCTCAGCATTCCTTAAACTATATATAAAGGGATTTAACATAGGTATAACTATACTGTAGAACACAGAAGCCACACGGTCCTGCTGTAAGACATTGCTGACAGACGGACGAAGATACATGAAGAAGATAGTTCCATAGAAGACACTAACAACAGTAATATGAGAAGCACACGTTTGAAAGGCCTTGTATCTACCCTGGGCTGACTTTATCCTCATAATAGTTAGGACAATGTTGGTGTATGAGACAATGATGAGTATGATGCTGCTCATGGTGACCAGACCAGCTAAAATGATCAGCACAACTACATTCATTGATATATCTGAACAGGACAGCTTGTAGAGTGGTGGAAGGTCACAGAAGAAATGATCAATGATGTTAGTTCTGCAAATGTTAAGATGAAACGCATAAACTGTGTGCACAAGGGAATTCACCAAACCTCCAAAGTAAGCAGCACCCACCATGTCAAGGCACAAGATGCTGCTCATGTGGACCTGGTACAGCAACGGGCTACAGATAGCCACATAGCGATCGTAGGCCATGACTCCTAGAAGAAGACATTCGATCGTAGCAAAGGACCCAAAGATGTACATCTGTAGGGCACAGCCAAGAAAAGAGATGGCCTTGGTTTCACTTAAAAAGTCCCTCAGCATTTTGGGGGTGACTGCAGAAGAATACACAAGGTCCACAAAGGAAAGATTACTCAGAAAGAAGTACATTGGTTTGTGAAGATGTGTCTTTGTTATACATAAATAAATAATGCCAATATTGCCAACCACGGTTGTGATGTAAATGTGCAGAAATATGACAAACAATGGAATGTTGAGTTTAGTCCTGTCAGTGAGTCCCGAGAGAATAAATTCCATCGGAGAAGTCTTATTCATCTCCAACTAATTCAAAAATTCTGCATCTGTTTAACAAGCAAGAGGTATATTTTACCTGTCGGTGATCCCAACCCCTGAAGATATTAGTCCAACCAAATATAAAAAAATATGTATCTAGTCCAACATGTGCTTGCCATGTGTATGGTTACTTTAGGAGAATCGCGACCAATTGAAAATGGCCAACGTTAGCGTGATGGTTACAGAAAGTAATAGTACAAAATATCAGCCAATTGTGTAAAAGTTCTTCTAGAAAAAAATATATTATTATTATTACATAGTATTTATATAGCGCCAACAGTTTATGCAGCGCTTTACAATATAGGGAAGACATTACAATCACAATACAAATCACGACAAGATGGTTAGGAGGGCCCTGCCCCTGAGGGCTTACAATGTAAAATGGAGAAGGAAGTGATACATGAGAGAGTTGTGTGGGGATGAATTGTTTGAGAGCGTGATGGTTGAGCGGTTAGGTTGAGGTGGGATAGGCTTCCCTGAAGAGATGAGTCTTTAGGGAATGCCTAAAGGCAGTCAAGGTGGGCGACAGACGGACAGGTTGGGGTAAAGAGTTCCATAGGATGGGATAGATTCTAGAGAAGTCCTGGAGGCGAGCATGGGAGGAGTTGACAAGGGAGCTGGAAAGCAGGAGGTCTTGGGATGAGCGGAGCCGACGGTTAGGGTGATACTTTGAGACCAAGTTTGAGATATAGCCGGGGGCGGAGTTGTGGATGGCTTTGTAACTGATTGTTAATATTTTGAATTTTATCCTTTGGGTGAGCCAGTGGAGGAATTGACAGAGGGGGTTTGCAGACACTGAGCGGTTGGTTAGGTGGATGAGTCCGGCAGCTGCATTCATGATAGACTGAAGGGGGATAGCCTGTGTAGTGGAAGGCCAATGAGGAGGGAGTTGCAATAGTCAAGACGAGAGATAACAAGGGAGTGTATGAGTAGTTTTGCGGTGTCATTGGTGAGGAAGGGGCGTATTTTGGAGATGTTACGAAGGTGAAGGTGACAGGATTTGGATAGCGATTGGATGTGGGGTGAAGGAGAGGTCCGAGTCAAGGATGACACCTAGGACCTTGGCTTGGGAGGAGGGATGGATAGTTGTGTTAACAATCTCAAGGGAAAAGTTGGGGGAAGGTGCACGGGCAGGAGGAAATATCAAGAGCTCAGTTTTTGAAAGATTGAGTTTTAAGAAGTGTTGCGACATCCAGACGGATATGTCGGATAGTAGATTAGTGACAGGAGAGGACACCAAGGGGGTGAGTTGTGGAGTAGAAAGATAGATTTGGGTGTCATCAGCATAGAGATGGTATTGGAAGCCATGTGAGGGTATTAACTGACCAAGGGAGGTGGTGTAGATAGAGAAGAGAATGGGTCCAAGGACAGAGCCTTGGGGGACCCCTACAGAAAGAGAAAGAGGAGTGGAGAAGTTAGAATTGTAGGTGACACTAAAGGAGCGCATAGATAAGTAGGAGGAGAACCACGAGAGAGCAGAGTCTTGTAGCTCAAGTGACTGGAGTTTTTTGAGGAGGAGCAGGTGGTCAACAGTGTCAAAAGCAGCAGAAAGGTCTAATAGCAAGAGTAGGGAATAGTGGCCTTTGCTTTTAGCAGTGAGTAGGTCATTAGTGAGTTTTAGGAGGCCGGTTTCAGTGGAGTGTAGGGGGCGAAAGCCAGATTATAAGGGGTCAAGAAGGTTGTGATCAGCGAGGTGGCGATATATTTGGTATGAGTATCCCTTTGTGAGTGTGTATACATGAAATACTTTTCAAAGAAATAAATAAAAAAGCATTTACCAAGGAATAAATCAGCACAGTCATATGTTCATGGTCTGGTATTACTAGAGTCCATGAGGTTGATTTACTAAAGGTATAAAGAATAGGCTATTTACTTGGCAAGGGAAGTTGCATTTTCCAGGGGAAGTATGTCTGTGATGGTTGCAATAATGCAGGAAGTGGAAATGATGATTTAGGCCCGTCCGTGGTTTACAGTGATAGTTCGTGGTGGCTATTGTTGCTTCGGAATGGTGTTGGTTTGATCCGAGATGGCCGAGAGAAAACAAAAAATATATAGAAAATTGGTGAAACTCAAGCAATGTGTATCAACGTGTGACCATGTAGAGCAGTGGTTCTCAACCTTTCTGAGGCCGGGACCCCTTGGTAACATTTGCCAAGTTGTGGTGACCCCCAAAGGTAAAATTTAGGGATGACGCGGCTGCTACAGCAACATCTGGAGGCGTGGCAGGAGAACGGACACTGCTGCGCTAGGAGAGAGCTGAGGAGGACTCTCACCTTACACAGCGACCCACAGGCTGAGAACCACTGCTATAGGCAAAGACAGGACCGGGCTCTGCAGCTGGAACTAGAAGAATTGGATTTAAAGTGTGTGGCTATATAATGTATGAGGTACATACTCCGCAGTACTGTCACTGATAGGGATGGGCTCGGGCGTGTTCGCATCTCCACGTGCCGAGCCCGCCAGGAAGCTGACAGTGCCAATCACAGGCACTGAGACATTTCCCAATCTCTGCAGCTGCGGACCGGGAAAATTGAATGCATAGCTAGAGGTGTGTTTTACATATTGTTTTGCTTGAATACATACATATTGCACCCGCCCTCTGCTGCTGTCAATCACTAGAAGGGGACCTGATGGAGAACTTCAGGTCCCCCTCTGCTGATTGGCAGCATCAGAGGCGGATGCAATAGCTAGTTTGCTATTGGCTTTTGCAAAGTGAAATAGCCAATAGGAATCTAGCTATGCATTCCTATGGTGTTTTTTTTTTCTGACTTATGGCGGCTCCCGATTTTTCCAGGAGAAAGTGTTTCTCTCCTGGCGCCCGAGAGCCACTAGGCGACCCCTGGCAAATCGTCATTCGACCCCGGAGAGGGTCCCGACCCACAGGTTGAGAACCACTGATGTAGAGACTCACCATGAGGTTCGGAGCAATGTGATGTAATCGACGAGGAAAGTATTACGTTGGTTCCGATGCAGACTAATTCCTTGGAAGAATTTCAGTTGGTGTACAGATCTGATGGTTGCTGGTACACCAACTTAAATTCTTACAAGGAATTAGTCTACATTCACCAATTTTCTATATATTTTTTGTTTTCTCTCTTTCATCCGCCAACTCGGATCAAACCAACACCATTCTGGAAGCAACAATATCCAGCACGAACTATCACTGTAAACCAGAGACGGGCCTAGATCATCATTTCCACTTCTTGCTTTATTGCAATCACACTCATCAATCCCCATTCGGTCGTAGCGCTTCTTCCTTTGTTTTTTGTTTCTTTCACACACTTATGTCGGACACCCCGGTCCGCACGATTTAGAAGCTGCTCACCTTACAATCACCTCTGAGACCCTTTTGAACCTCAAAACGACTCCCCTGGCGAGCGCTATAACTTTGGACTTTGTCCCAAAAAAACTTTCCAATGTCTGTGAAGGTTCTCATTCATCTAGGTCATGTATATCTGTAAAAGATAAATCAAGGCAACTGGACTTGCTGTATTTTTCTTGAAGACATTTTGCTGGTCATCCAACTAGGTTTCTCAATTCAGAATGCAGGGGAAGCTTCCCCCTAGCTTAGAGAAGGCAGTGAAGCTCTGTTGACTTCCATCACCCAATCATGTGGAAGCAAAAATACTTATTTTTTATTTGTCTTGCCCACGATTGGATATTATTTGAAAAGTGAAATTTTATCACATTCACCAAGCTAAGGGAAACTTCTCCCGCAAAGTTCAGATTCCCTCGCAAAGTTAACAGCCTGTTTGCCTTTAGTAAATCAACCCCTGTTTGTCTATAGTATCCAATAGGCATGTGCAGGAAGGCTACACGGCACACTATGCATAGTGTAACTTATATTTGAAAGAAATAGAATTGCAGAAACATCTAAAGTAAATCCAATGAAGTCATTCTGAAAGTGCATTTCCACTTTTGCAGCCAAAATAGGATAACACCTATTTTATATTTGTTACATGTTCCCATTCACATAGCAGAAGTTTAAAAATAAATGTAAAGTTGCAGCTTACCTTTTTGTTTAGATGCTCTTTGTGCTTATTCCAGGACTGAAAAATCCTGCTTAGTTCTTGCTGTCTAGGGTGATGGGAGGAGTTTTTTTTCCCTTATAATTAACTATCTGTATTGTGCTGGCAGATTTAATTATCACTAGATGAACAGGGTGGTCTCTCTTAACAAAGAGCTCAAGCCCTGAAGACCTTGTACGTTAATGAGGAGGTACTGAGTCTGTTCCAAGTCTTTCTATCTGGACAGTCAGAGTTTTCTGTTACTGAAATTGAGAGAAGAGCATGCAAGGGTGAGATATCTAAAAGGTAAGAAATAGACACTTCTGACACCACTTCCTGTTCCTGGTCCTTCTTTACATGGCCGGTCAAGATAGTTAACGTACCTAAAACCTGCCAAACCTACTGCAAGAAATGTGGGAAACATCAGCCCCTCAAGGTTACCCAATACAAGAAGGGTAAAGATTCTCTCTATGCCCAAGGAAAGAGGTGATACCACCTCAAGCAGAGTGGCTATGATGGGCAGACCAAGCCATGTTTCCAGAAAAAAGGCCAAGACAACAAAAAAGATTGTTTTGCGGCTAGAGGTGATGTAAACTGCCGATCCAACAGAATGTTGGCATGCAAACACTTTGAACTTGGAGTAGACAAAAAAGAGAAGTTATCCTGTTCTAAGCTCCAGCATCACTTTGAAAACAAAAACATCTCCAGAAATCTAAATTCATTGTTAAAAAGGTACGAAATATATTATTTTAAATTATTGTTAGATATGATGTGTGAATGGGAACACATAACAAACATAGAGGGGGGGGGGGG